AAAAAAAAAAAAAAAAAAAAAAAAAAAGAAAAAAGAAAAAAGAAATTACAAAAAAAGGACAACACATATATAATTGATGAGCTGTGTGTCCCCTTAAAAAGGAACCAAACTGCAACCCCCCAAAAAATGAACAAGTACGAGAAGATTAGGGACATAGGGAAAGGGAACTACGGCAATACGATTCTTGTGCGTGACAAGAAGAATGACCAGTAAGTGTGGTGTGTGCGGGACTAAACGTGGAGGCGTCCACGCCATGCGTAGCAGCCGCAGCTACCACTATCACTTCTACGACATTCTGCTCATCGCTGCGCTCGCCCCTTCCCCACAAGCTACGTGATGAAAATAATTAACATATCTCAGATGACCCCGAAGGAAAAGAGGCAGTGCTTGAAGGAGGTGGAGGTAGCGTCGCGGAGAGAGGCAAAGCGGGAGTTGAGAATGAGCCGACGTAAAAACGTTTGTGTGTGTCCCCTGCCAGCCACAGCGTCGCCCCCGTTAGTATACCTTCCCTCGCCACTTCACACATACCTGTGTGCACGTGTATGTTTGTATGCACCCTCCGCAGTTGCTGTCCAAGCTGAACCACCCCTTCATCGTGAAGTATATCGAGAGCTACATAGAGGGGGACACGCTCAGAATCGTCATGAAGCACTGCAAAGGTGGGTTCAGTGGAGCTTTTTTTTTGGGGGGGGAATACAATTAGGGTTCATGCGATGTGTGAGCATGTCTCTCTTTCGCTTTCGCTTTCTTTTTTTTTTTCTGTCCTATCCTTCTGTCGACACCCACCCACCCAAGGCGGAGACCTCTACCATTACATACAGAACAAGAAGAAGCAGAACACGCCGATAAAGGAGACGCGCATATTGATATGGCTGACTCAGATATTGACGGCGCTCAAGTTCCTGCACTCGAACCACATCCTGCACAGGGGTAAGGGGGACGCGTACCCACCAGAGAGTACAGCAGCACGCGGCCACACGACAGCGCACTTGAGCACGCCGACGGGAGAACACTTCACAGCGCGACCACTTCCCCCCCCGTGACAGACATGAAGTCGCTGAACATTTTGATCGACAACGACAAGCGAGTGCGGCTGTGTGACTTTGGCATTTCGAAGGTCCTCGAGAACACCCTGGACTACGCCAACACCCTGATAGGAACTCCCTACTACTTAAGCCCAGAGTTGTGTAAAGATAAAAAGTACAGCTGGCCCTCCGATGTCTGGGCCACCGGGTGCCTTATTTATGAGTTGGCCACCTTCCGTACACCCTTCCATTCTACCAAGGGGATTCAGCAACTCTGCTATAACATCAGATATGCCCCTGTAAGGTGCTTCGAGGCTGTGCCCTACTTGCACACACACAAACTGTTTGGGCCCGTTCTTCTTGTGTGTGTGTCACAGGAAGGAGAGAATTATTATGAGCCACTTGTTCCTGCGCCCCCGCCATTTCGTCACATGAACTCCTTTTTTTCCTTTCTCCCTCATGCATATCCACACTTGTGGCAGATCCCAGACCTGCCGAACATATACTCTAAGGAGCTGAACAACATTTACAAGAGCATGTTGATCCGGGAGCCCAACTACCGAGCCACAGTACAGCAGTTGCTAGTGTCGGACATTGTCCAGGTGAAATGGGGGAGACGCAAAGGCGCGCTCGCCATGTCACTGCAACTTCAGCGCGATTTGCACATGCCTTCCACACCGCGTCCACCCCACGCAGAGACAACTGAAGTTGCTGATTGAGGAGAAGATTCGGGAGAAGCAAAATATGAAAAGGCCTTTGAAGGAAAAGCCCGCGACTGAAAATGAAGGGTCCGGTGCAAATGAGCAGGAGGTTAAGACGTTGCTCCTGGATGTCGTAGACACGTGAGATGGTTACAAGGGGGGGTAAAAGGTGGGAGGGTATATTATCCATTTGGGGTTAGTACTTTTTTTGGTGGAGCCAAAAATATGACTTTCCCCCGTCACTGCTCGTTCAAATGTCCAGCTTTGCCGAAAAAAAAAAAAAAAAAAAAAAAAAAAAGTGTCCAAGTTGGGGAAGTCCATGGAGAGGGGCACCAGAACCGATGCAGAGTTAGGCTGCGCGTTGTTCATTTTTTTTCATTTTATTTTTATTATTATTTTTTTTTATTTCGCTATCCCCCTTTTGATGATTGGATTGGCGCGTTGTTCACATTATTTTTTATTATTATTTTTTCCCCCCTGTTGCTACGTTCATTTTCTAACATAGATGCGCCGGAGAAGCGGTTGCAGTTGGAATGGGAGAGGATCTGAAAAGGTGACCTGGTCACGACTGTACGTTTTGCACAGATGTGCATGTGTCTCAAGGTTGAGCGCAATACCTTTGTTGCTACCACACATCATCCAAACTTATAATTGTGTGCGGCGTGCGGTACACTGTTGCGCGGGTACCATTTGCAGTTACCACGGTGAACGAAAATTTGTCGTATGTGTAGGAGAGCACGCCCCGCACAGGTTACACACAAGGGTATGAACAGGCACAAGTGATATTTTAACAACGGGGGGGTGGGCAGCACACCAAGCGGAAGGAAAGCATGCACACGAAGCTTTCCTCAGAAGAGTTAACATTTTTCTTGGCCGTGCTTATCATCAGGGAAGACTCGCAACTGTTTGTTTCTCCTCCTTTGGGGATGCAGAAGCAAAATGGCGATTCTTTCCTGGTGGGGGGCGACACGTGGGTGTACGTAGGAAGGTTTTTCTCAGTCGTCCACGTGAAATGCATGCACGGGTATGCTTTACATATGTGGATGCTTCTCTCCCTTGGCATCGGAGGTGCCCCGCGTGAAGAGGCGCACAGATGCACAAAGAGGCGCGAAGAGTCGGAAAAAAAAAAAAAAAAAAAAAAAAAAAAAATACTTCCCCACTTAACCGATTTTGCCAAGGTGGAGGGACCCCAATGCAAACATACAACTGTGAGGTAACGTGGTCTCCCCAAATAAAAAAAAAAAAAAAAAAAAAAAAAAAATCACAATTATGTTATAACTTCCATCACGTTTGCTTGAGTGATATATTTTTTTTTTTTGTTTTGGGGGAGAGGTCCGCAACAGGATAGTTGTTTTGAGGACGGTCCTCCGCTAAACGGGTTCTTCCTCCGAACCGCTTCCCCTCGACCGTGGCGCAGCTGTGATGGTTAGGGAAATGCCAAGGACTTATTATGTGCAACTTTTGAGGAGACTGTTAAAAATATAGTCCCACATGTTCGCCGCGGAGAGGGGCGCCTGCCTAATGTGGTAATTCAGCGTGCATATGTGTTATAAAAAGGGGGATGACCCGAATGGGGGCCACAACTTGATCTCTCCCCCGCTACACCCGTTTGCGTCCGCGAGGAAGTTTCGCGTTGGTTAACTGCTACATAAAAGGGTGAAAGATAGGACAGATCATTTGGGAGAGGCGTAATGGGGGGGAATTGCGAAGAGCAGGTGTTTTGAAGCAGTGCGGACGTGGCAGCGGTACAGGGGGAGAGGGTAGTACCGAATAAGGTAGCTATATACGCTCTTGGCTAGCTAGCCAAAACGTCCTTTTTTTTTTTTTTTTTTTTTTTTTTTTTGCGCGGCTTTAAGGGCCGTGACGGGGAAAAAACGTACATATAAACGGGGTGTTGTTAACTACACACACGATGGCGGCGCCAATCAACATCGACGTTCCGAAACTTATATTAGACAATGGAGGTGGGTTGATCAAGGGAGGTATCCTGCCAAGTTACTCCCAGATGAATGACTCTCAATTTAATGAAATAGAACCCAAGTTCATAGTACCCAATTGCGTAGGACAGGTGAGAAAGAAAAATATAATTCACATAAGTGATAGCTGTTACAGCATAGGTGAGTACTTTTGTCACAGACCCCATGTGGATGGGTTGCTAATGGATTTGGAGATGCAGACGAATATCTGGGAAAAGCTTTTCTCGTGCAAACAAACTATTGGGTTTAAAATAAATGACATGGCTATCTGTATTACGGAGTCCTATCTGACCCCAGCTTACATAAGACAAGGAGTGATAGAACTTCTGTTTGAATATTTTAATTTTAATCAAATTGTAATTGTGTCCTCACAAACGATGCTTCCTTTTTCTTTCATTGGACTTAATTTGGGTCAATATGATATTGTAAATCCCCCCGTTTTTTCTAACTCTACTTTGAGGGGCAGGAAAGGAGGGGGGGGAGAATCATGTAAGAGGGGTAGGAGGAGAGGAAGCAAATGCATGATTAGAAAGAACCACAGCTTGAAGGAACATATAAAAGGGGAGGAGGGGGATGGAAGTGTTCGTAATAGTAATGCCGATTTGAAGAGTGAGGCGGATAAATGGCTACCTCGTGAATTGCAAGACGAGTGGGAGGAGGAGGAGCAGGAGGAGGAGGGGGAAGCGGGAGGAGTAGGTCTTGGTGTGTCATGTCGCAGCGACGTTTACAGTGAGGTTAAGAATGAGTTGAATGAATTGGAGAGCGGCATGCCGCAAGACGCATGGAGCAGTACCTCTCAGCAGAACGATGTGCCTGTAGTATATGATGAGCCTCGTGTGGAAAATAATGCATTAACCAATAGGCACATGTTTATAAAAAATATTGAATGTTATAATAAGTATACCCACCGAGTGTACCTGGAGGAGGGATTCCGAGGGGAGAATTGGCAGGAGTATCATTTTAATCGTTTTTTCAATTGTGATAGTAGGCGCTTCCAAACCAATGGAGTGGTGCGCACGTTACAGAGCAACAGTTACCTAGGAGACAACTTCTTCGTCCAGGACCCAAATTTTTTACTACCCGATCAAGTCGATTTACACCATAGCTACTACGAACCCAATTTTAACGACCTTAATAATTTTACAAGCCATTTTAACAACACATATGTGAATAGCTTTTATAAAGAAGTGTTGAATGGAAACTACAACTTATCTCTGAGGAACCCCTGTGCTTTGTATGTAGATGTGGGGTTCTCTCACACGTACGTTTTGCCGTATATCGAGTACAAGCTTATTGAATATGCCATTTTAAGGACAAAGGTTTCTGCTTCTATTTTAAACACTTACTTGAAGAATGTCCTCTCGTACAAGCACGTGAATTTGGAACACAATGAGCTGCTCGTGGAAAATATAAAAGAGCGAGCTTGCTACGTGTCCTTGGACTATGAACAGGATTTACAAAATGAGAAGAGGCGACTGGAGGAGATTAAGAGGCAGAGGATTGCAGATAAGCTGGGTGCACGTGAGGAGGTGCTGCTCAGGGAGGCGGCCGCCAAGACCACTGTTGAGGTTGGCGACGAGGGAGAGGTACAGAATGGGGTGGGTCCCGGGAAGGGGAAAATCAAATTGGAGGGAGTCGCTTCGAATTGCAAGGATGAGGTGAAGCCCCCTGTGGGTGATGTCACTTCAAAAAATGATCATATGAGGAAAAAGCGAATGAAGCCACACCTCTTCTACAGTTACAAGCTAATAGATTATAACAACGCGACCAAGAGGGAGATCAGTGAAGTGTATGACACGCTCAGGACGAACAGCTCCAACGACTGCGTTTATGTGGACTCAGATTTTGAGGAGCGGATGGAGTTTTCCAACTACTCTGAAGGTAATAAAGACATGGGGAAAGCTGCAGAAGGTAATGAAAAAGAAGGCAAAGGTGGTCAGAGGTGCAGTAACGTAAAAGATTGTAGAAACGGAGGTGAGGGTGATTTGAATAGAAGTGCATTCTCAAACGACATTGGTGGTGCAAAGGGAAGGCACACAGAAACGGAGTACAAGAATGATATAATTAATTTGACCAATGAACGAATAGGAATTCCTGAAGTTCTTTTTAACCCGAAAGATATAAATCTTGAACATTGTAGCATCGTGGAGCTCATATATAGGTGTATCTCTTTACTGCCCAAGGACATTCAGAGGTACTTTCTGGCCCAGATATATGTCTCAGGGGGTTCCACCAAGTTTAAGAATTTCAAGCACAGACTGTATAAGGAGTTGCGGGCGATGTTCCCGAGCGAGTGGGAGATCAATATTTACTCGCATAGGAATAGCCTCTACAGCAACTACATCGGTACGTACGTCTGGTTGAGCGATCACAATATTTATAATTATAATGTGATAACCCGGGAGCAGTACTTCAACCACGGCAGGGACGCCTAGGTGTGTTGAGCGGTGAAGCGGACGCGTCGGCCGTGCGCGGAGGCGGCCGTTGCAGGCGTTAGCGGTGCCAGGCGATGACCACGAGTTAAACGGCCATGCGACGAATTGGCCGAGGAGGCGGCCATGCGAAGAATTGACCACGAGTTAAGCGGCCAAAAGGAGCCACTGCGCAGCAAGTTTGCAACACGAAAAAAAAAAAAAAAAAAAAAAAAAAAAAAAAAGGTGGGATCAAGTGAAGACCCCATTCGAGGACAATATTCACATGACAAGTCTGCGATGGGGGCTGAATACTTGTCCCCATTTGGCGTGCGCCAGTTTGTCCACTTCGCACCGCTTCTAACCAATTCGCACCACTTCTAACCAATTCGCACCACTTCTAACCAATTCGCACCACTTCTAACCAATTCGCACCACTTCTATACGCGCGCTATATAATTTTTTTTTTTTATGCCGTGCTTGTCCCATTTTTCTGGGTCAGCTACTCATGTCTTCCGAGGCGAACTGCACCAGTGTACTAAACTTACTCTGGAGGAACTCAATGACCTTGGCCCTGTACAGCTGATTATCAATGGTGAGGCCGAGGAAGTCAGATGTGAACCCATTCTGTTTCAAATCTATGAAACTAATTTGTACAACCTGCTCGCTGTGGTGTGTATCCACATCTGCGTAATCTTCGTAGCGAGTTAAGGGTATCACATTTTTAAAATAAAATTTTGTGTCATTCGTTTGAATCATCTTTAGGGTGAAGTTATTTTTCGTGAGGAAGGAAAAATGAAGCAAGTCACATTCTGTTGGTAGGAGGGCTGAGTAGATCCACAAGGCAGGTAAAGGATCTCTAGTGTCATCACCTACATGCTCCTTTTCGCTTTTCTTTATGTAAAATATAAGGTCCTTTGGGTTGTATACTAATTGGTTCCTATCACTTTCTACACATATGTATATCCCCTTGTGGTACGGGGGGATGAGGTACTTTTTTTGTTTGTGCTCGAGGTGGAGCACGCTGGTCATGTCGTAAGCAACTGTTTGTTCTTTGCGCTGTGGGGGAAGTTGGGGGGGTCTGGGCTCATTGGTCTCGTCACTGTGCGTCGTGTGCTCAGGCCCGTTATTGTGGGTCGCACGCTCCGTGTCGCTCACTCCGTCACTTGGTTTTCCCCTTTTCAGGAAGTCTAAATACGCCTTCTGAATTTGGCTCAGCTGGCTGTCTTCTCCTTCCTCTGTGTTGTCGTCCCTGACGGCTGGGGTGATGTGCGCGTTGGGTTGGAAGGGCCGTTTGTAGGGAACTCCCCCCTCTTGCCTGACTTGGGTCATCCCCTCGTGTCGTCCTCCCGAGGTGGTCACAAGAAATCGTTCGGTGGCTTCATCATAGTGGCATTGGCTAACGCCACATGCGAACTGAATTATGTGCGCCCAGAAAATGGATTCGCTTAGCGAGGAGAAGATGGAGAAGGAGGTGCTGTTGACGAACCTGTTGGGGTTGTCCTCCGTGCTGGTGGTGCTGGCCGAGTCCCCCTCGTTGGGCTCGATTCGGCTGAGCAGCTGGAGGAAGTCCCCCCTGGGCACGAAAAATGTAGGCACGTAATTATACACCTTTTGACTCTGGTTCAATGTGACATTACACAGTGATATGAGGAAGGGCATCCTGGTGTGGTGAATGGATGGGTCTCTTTGTACAAGTGGGTGAGGACTAAGTGAGTACTCGATTTCAATTCTGTTAATTCTGTACTGACTTATGTTTCCTTGGAGCAGTGTCATCACGTTTAGTGGGTTCGTGCATCCAGGGGTGTGTCGGCGGTTGTCACGTTGGTGATGGGTTGCAGGGTTTAGGGGATCTACGTAGACCTCCGCCGCGGATGAGTACTTTTTGCTTTTGTTAAGGTAAAAGTTAAAAAGGACGTGCACGTTGTATGGCTTCCCCTGTGTGCATGTCTCCAAGGGGGGAGGGTCATTCCGCACGGATGCACCGTGCCCACTGCTGCGTGTATTGTTTGGCCCATTTCCTGTCCCAGCGGTAAGACGCTGATCCAGTGCGGTCGTTTGTGAATTTCCACTTTCCCCACAGGAGGACCTGTATAGCGGGTTCGGGTGAAGACGCACGTACAGGTCGCTAACAACGACTGGTGTTTTGAACTCCACTGATCCCTTCGGGGACAACAAGAGGACGTCCCCACTCTCGCGTACAAGCTTGTCCATCCAGTATGTCCTTTCTCTGTTTTCCTCAAAACGAGGATTCTGCAAATACAATGCTTTGAGTCTCTTGTACCGTTTCGCAGGTTCTACTTTGTCGTTGAAAATTTGTTTGTACCAGTAGATTTTCCCTGTGCCCGTTTCCGGTTGGGGGGATTCATGAGGAGGTGCATCTGCTACGTCGCCATGTACTTCGCCATGTACTTCGCCATCTGCTGCTGCATCTACTGCTCCGTCTACTTCTGCATCTACCCCTCCCACACGTTGAGCCTCTACCCCGTCCCTGTGTTTGTAAGAATGGAGTGGCGCCCCCAACGCACACGAACTCCAAGCGCCCTTCAAGATCAGAGCGGGCTTTACACCCGAGTTCACATAACGGAGCTGAATGTCGTTATTCACGTAGAGCTCATTATAACATACGTCGACATGGAAAATAAAATTTAGAAGAAACTTCTTTTTATAATTTCTCACAACCATGACACTTGTACTTATGCCATTGTAACCTGCATGCAGTTTGAACAAATTTTTTTTATATTCATAATTTTTATAAACAGTGAGATTCTTTAACGGGTTCGTAGACACCATATGGACGGGTTCTTTATTGTAGTTTACCTTTGCCCATTTTTTGTATAATGCATTACTTGTGAGTTTCAAAACTTGTTTGGTGATGAAGTTGGTTCCCCTCTGTGTTTGTTCATGCGAATTTGTCTTGTGACTTGCCCGTCCCATAATAGCACCACCTGGTGATGTACTTTTTTTAAAAAAAAGGACAATCTCGCAATGGTTAATGGAGCGGAAGAATGCACAAGTGAATTGGTGGTCAGTGTGATTTTTCTCCTTTTTCTTAAAACGTTTTGTAAAAGGGGAGCTACTGATTAGTGTCTTCTTTAGTAGTAATGGGAATAGTGACCCTGCCCTACTTTGCCTTGTACATACCCCCACGTTCATTTGCTTATTAATTTTTACCATCCCATCACAGTTGTTCGTTTCAGATGGTATCCGTAGCGTTTTGAATATGTTGCTGATGGTGGTTGGTGTGACGTTTTTTTTTTGCACTTCGTTTGTGTGCGCTTCGTTTGTTTGCGCTTCGTTTGTTTGCGGCGGGGACGTGTGGTCGTGGGCCTCTCCATCTGTCGTGCGCTTCGTGCTGTTCTCCTTGCTGCGCTCCGTGCTGTGCTTGTTAATGGGGGCGTTTTCCTTCAGACGCTGGGCGAGGTCCACCATAGGATTGACGCTGCCGACCCAGCCGTCGGCTCTATTCAAATGAGCAGTTGTGGCTTCCCCTGAAAGGTAGGTGGTGTTATTCTCCCTCCCCACAGCGACATCGCCCCCACGAGATCCCTCATCTTCCTTTTTTTTGTTCTTCTCCCCCCTCCACATGTCCCCATTATTCAAAAAGACGTAACTCGAGGAGGACTCCACGTCCCATGCTTGCATAAAGGTTTTGTTGAAGTCAATTTCTTCAACGGCTAAAGAGAGTGGAGACAGAAACGATAAGTTCTGTGCGTCATTCAAGTGTTCACCTATGAACAGGCCTTTAAAATTGTATTTGGTTGTAGGACCCTCCTTGAATTCACAGACCTCTCCTAATATGTTCGTTCTGTTATAATTTATGAAATGGGATGGGGGTAGCTTCTTCGTTGTGCTCATTTGATGTTCCTTCCTCTTCGTTAGGGAAGTGAATAGGTCAACCAGGAAGTGCAAGCCCTTCATCCACACATTCCTTCCCTCTTTATCCGTCACAGCTTCCCTTCCACTCCTGCCATGCTCTTCATTTTGCCATTCTACACCAGGTGAAAAAATGTCCTCTGTGGGGCTCGCATAAAACGGCGTAGTGTGTAGGTAGGTATATTTTTCGTCGTCCTGTTCGTGGTAGGTAACTTTTTTTTTTTTTTTCTTCTTCTTCTTAATTGGCTTATCTTCTCCCTCCTGACCGGTTTGTTCAGCTGGACAGCCAATGGCCCCGGCTTGGACCAGGTGGCAAGTGGTGTCGGCCGAACTGGAACAGCTGGGCGAGGATATCCTTTTGCTAATCACATTATGGAAGGAGGTAAAGATGTGGTCCCCGATGCTGTCAACGAAAAAGTCTGTGAGCGATGGGTGGACTATCACGTTGCTGCTCGCGCGCTGTGAAAGGGAGAGCCACGCAACTAGGGCGACGAGGGTAGCAGGTGCCATTTTTGAAGAGCTGGCGGTGGGGCATGCGTCCCGTCAGCGGCTCCGTCGCTGCCCCCCCGATGGCGCTTCGCATGCTCTCCCCTCCCCCACCTTTCTCCAAGCGCCTTCAACCTCTGTGTAATTATACTCCGCCCCCCAGTAACGCTGGATCAGCATTCGCTTGCGTGTCCCCACGTCTACGTGCGTCGCAGGGGGGAAAGGCTGAACAAAAAAAAAGGAAGCACAAAAAAAAAAAAAAAAACACGCAGCGAGACCCCACGTACAATCGTCAAATGTGTCACTTCAGCATAGGAGGGGAAAAATACATTTGTGCTATTGCAGCACGGGGGTGACAAGGAGCATGTAACGCAGTTGACCAAACGAGACGATGTATAGGGGGATGGCTCGCGAAAGTGTTCGCGTTGGGTTGGTCGGTGCGTCGCACTGGAAGCTTAACGACGCTAACGCGGTTTTTCCACCTAGCTTTTTTTTTTTTTTTTTTTTTTTTTTTTTTTCATTTCTGCCCTTTCGTGATTCTTTATTGCCCCCTTTCTGCTGCTGGTCGGCGCTCCAAATGTTTGACCGGAAATGAAGTTCTCCCCCACCCCCTAGAGGAAGCGCGTGCCAAGCGCATGCAAAGAGGGCATACACGAATGCAGACTACCGCGTGGCGTGGACCGACAGCTCCACCAAAAGTGGGGCGAACAGATAACCTGTAAGTGGGATGTTTTGCTCCTTGCAGGGGGAGGGGGATATGTGTCCCATTTTGATCCCTTTTCGTCCTCTGCCCCATTCGCTAGGGTTATATTACGAATGACGTTGTTAGGTAGCGACCCCTCAACTGGGTCCATTCCTCTCGAGGACTACCTGATGTGAGAACGACCCTGGTGTGACTTTTCTCCCATGAAGATGTTCACATGGTGTAGGGATGCCAAAGTTGAGTTGTCGTCCCGTCTAGCACTTGGTGGGAGAAACAACTCAGGACGTGTGTTTTGTGTGTTGGGGGGACATGCGTATGTAGGTGTGCAGACCATGCACCCTGCCCTTTCCCCAAATTAAAGCAAAGCAACGCCTCAAGGGAAGTTTAAAAACGACCAAACGGTAAAAAAAAAAAAAA